AACAACTATAGTTGCAAAAATCGCCNGTTTATCAGACAATAAATAAGTTTTACAATGTTGTTTAAAAAGACGAGGTTTTGAAATAATTGTAACAGATAGAGGCAAAATTGTAAACCAAATTTTGGGTGCAAGAATAAATATGCTATCATTTAAAATTTTTAGTCTACTGAATGGTATTATATATGGAATGAAGTGACGAGTAGATTTAAAAATATGTGAAGGTTTGAGTAAAAAAATATTTGAGAAATTAGATGGTAGCAGATTATTGACAAATTTGAACATGAAAAAGGCAACAATAAAAATATGTAATTTGTATATTGTAAGAAGACCTAAAGAAGAAAAATATTCATCAACATGAGTGGTAATTTTTAAATATAATAATAGTTTTATACATTTTTTTTGAATTCTATATAGTTTTGAGACATGAACAGCAGGGCTATTGCCCCAGATAAGATTACAATATGATAGATGAGGAAAAACAAATGCATTGTACAACAATATTAAAGTAGTTTTATTAAGTTTGTATCTTATTTTATAAAGAAGACCTAAAATTTTGCTTAATTTAGAAGAAATAATATTAATATGTTCAGCCCAAGATAAATTATCTGAGATAATTAGACCCAAAAATTTAAAATAATTGATTTCATTATTATTATTATTAAGATAGGTTTATCAGATTTTATCAAATGAATGAATAAACGAATAAATGATTAAATGAATAAATAAATGATTGATTGATTGGTTGATTGATTGATTGACTGACTGATTAGCAATTCTCCGGCCAACCAACCATTTTCAACGGAACATCGATAACGACGTCAATGGAAACTCGCTCGGTGGTCATCAACGAAAATTTCAAAACCGCCTTGTTCTCCGACAGCGTCCAAAACTCCTGGCAGAACGAGACGTCGCACTCCCTCGTCACTTTCGTTATCTGCCGGCCTCTCTCTGCCGCATTTCTTAGATACACTCCCATCTCCGTTAGACAAGTTAGGTAGTTGGTCAAGCGGCCCGGCCTAAAAAAAAGTAGGGATACATATTCGGGTTCATGAACTTTGTTGAATATGTCCAGAGAGAGAGGTAAGAGAGAGCGAGAGATACATAAAATGTAATTGAAATTATATATGCGCGCACTCACACACACACAAAGACACACACGCACGCACATGCACAACTTAGATAATGATGATTGCTAAGATTGTTATTATAATTTTATAACAATAATAACAGCTAATTATTACAATTATTCTCTCCAATTCTCTTGCAATGATAGAATAATAAAGGCAATAATTATATAACAAAATTATGATGATAACAGGTATAATAATAACTATTATGTTATGTGCAACTTACTGACTTGTTATATACTAAGCTTTTGTAGACCATAGCCTGGTGGATGAGAGTGAGTACTTTGGCTATTGATTTGCAAAACTGGAACCCAAAGCATCTAAAAATTCAATATGCACATAATTTGATATTAAATTCATTTAATGTTATAAATAAAAATTATATAATTAGTTAAGAATACACACACACGTACGCAAACACACATGCACACACACGCGCGAGCGCACACAGACGCATGCAAACAGACACAGGCGCACCTTCCATAGAAGCATTCAGGATTAAGCATCTCATATTCAAACATGATGTTAACAGCATTGTTATATTCATCTTCCGGCATGCAGTCAGGGTCAGGGAAAAACTGACCATTACCACAAAACCCTTTCAACTTAATCATGTAATAAAGGCAGGCTCTCATTTGCCCCAAGACCACGATGTAATCATTTAAACTTTGTTGGTTGCTGGCGATGCTAAATAGACAGGATTCTTTATGTATTGCAATGTATTGAACTGTTTCTAATATTTTTAGGAGACATTTTCGTAAAATTGTTAGCATGCTGTGGTAGCCATTGCCCGGAAGGTTGGGCTTGAAGTCGTATTTTGCTGCTACCAGGGCAATTTCTTGACATGTAGGTCGAATGCTCGATAAGTGCTGCAAGAGGACATCCGTTGTCTGCTTCATTGATTCTTTCGCCTGATCTGCTTTGGCTCTGTTGGTTGTCGCTGTCGATGATTTCCTCGATTGATCATCATAATATTCAGCGACGATTGATACTAACTCTTCTAGTTCATCAATCAGGTCTGATATCTTACTGTTGTCTGAGTACTTCTCCTCCAGAGATGGCATTTTCGATGATGGTCAAGTGTTATTATATAACTTATTAATTATGTTATTATAATTTGTAAAACTCTTCTATAACAGTGAAGTTTTAATTAATTAAAAAACCAAACAAAAGCAATAATACTATTACTTTCTTTTAACACTTATTACCAATTATAATATTAATAATAATTCACAGAGACTAGAGTCTTCACTAGAACATTAAACTTAAAATTAAATAATAATCAATATAATAATAACCATATAATTATAACACAATATTATTGCACATCTAGTTTGGTTTATTTTATAAAGCCGTTACTTTGCAGAAATCAGCAGAATTAGGTTACCAAACAGTAAGAAACTGTCTGTAAAGTCAGAAAAATGAATCCAATTAATCTTCTCTAATTATATATATAACTAGATAATATACATTTGTTTATGTGATAATTATGTTATATATATATAAATATATATTTATATAAAAATATAAAACAATAAATAATATTTAATAGTAAAACATCACATTAGACTAGCCAATTACAATTGTCCTAACATAATAACATGTTGTTGTTGATTTCAATAAGATAGGATAGATCATAATATATTAATTTAAAATAAGGTTGGTTTTATTTTCTTTCAATATTACCACAGGAAGGAACTTTATAGTTGCATTTGTATTTCAAAGAATAAGGTATTATATAGTATAATTATTATACTATAATGTCATTTATAACATAATATAGTATACAATACCAGTATTAAAGATTTTAACAATAGCATGAATGCTTTATTATATTATACACAACAAATAAATGAACGTATTTGACGTAAACACTCAATTTTTTTATATAAATGAGTAATTTTTAGCTAAGAATTCACTACACATTTCAAGGCTTTGAAATTGTATTTTTATATAAAATTAATCCATATTCACGCACATACCATGTATGTACCTACCTATTAGAATATAAAATGCATATATTATATTATAAAAATATTATATATATGTGTACATATATGTGATTACATAATTATAGCAAATAGTACAATCTATACATTTCATAAGCCATAAGCGTATCTAGTTAAAACCCCATTGAGACGAAACAGATGATTTTGATCAGCCAATAGTTGGAGAGTGCACAGGTATCATCATTGCACTAACAATAAGTACTAATTACTTTAAGATCCGCCCCTAAATCGTTTTATTTACAGCTCAGATGATTGTAAAAATGTAAACAAACAAATTTTTATGTAATTTAAGTTGAAAGTTTGATTTTTATTGTGATTTATTATTTTAAGCTGTCTGTTAAGGAAAATGAAACTGCAATAAATCATATCGAAGAATGTTGTGAAATTTTTATTCAAAGCTGGTGGCGAAACGTTTGAGAGACGAAAATTTTTTAAGAAAAAAATATGGCTTAAAAGTGGTGGCGAAATGTTTTTGGGACGAAAACTTTTCAATGGATGAAAAATTTGTAACCATAAGGACCGCAACGGAAATGATTGCAGCCAACCAAAATACGCCACATATGTTTATTATTTCTCATTTTAGTTCTGTAAATCATAGTTTACCGATTATTCTTGTCACTTTGTCATTTTAAAATTTTGTTTCGTGTTGATGTTAGTCTTTGACAATCTATATTCATTACTTTTATTGTATTCTTTACTTTATTCCATTAGAATTCTGCTCGTGACTTTTAAATTTTAAATAGTCGGCATGGGTTCTTCCTTGATATCCTACTATAGAATTGTCTAGAAGTGTCATCAGCAATGTCTGCTAATTTTATTGCGACTTAAATTGAAGAATATATAAATAGAGCTGTGTTTTGATCAGGAAATAATCTTAGTCATTCATTTTTTGTCCCCAGAAAACAGGCGTGCAAGTGGCGAGTATGCTGAGTTTTTTGTGGATTTGTGTGATGATGCCGGCCTTGACAGGTGATCATTTTATTATTTCATGATTATATTCTATTTTTTCAATAAATTATAGTAAAAATTAATTATTACATCATAAATATGAGCCATGTGTTTTTAAAATTATGAAATAAGTTACAATTAAATAAATTTTTTATTATAATTCTGTATGTTATTTTTTGTTTACTGTCGTTAACTGTTGAATTAAATTTAAATATTAAACTGTTTGTCTTGATTGATTGCTGTTTAATTTAATTCAATTTGCATTGAATTGCTACTATTTTTTGTTGAACAGCTGGTCTGGCTGTCATGTCCATTGATTTTGGTGGAGAATTTATGAAGATTGCAATTGTCAAGGTGTGCTGTAAAGTATCTTAACTTTTTAAAAATATATAATCTGATCTGATGTTGTTCCCTTGTTTACTTATATGCTAACTTTCCTATAGTTTTATTAGTGTGTAACAATTCATTTATTTATATTATATAAATTTTATAAGCTTATTCATTCAATTTAATTGTCAAATAAATTTTAAATTTTAACTCTTTTTATTCTTTCCTTTTACTAGGCTGGAGTTCCTATGGAGATAGTGTTAAACAAGTGTGTTTTTTTGTTTTGCTGTTTTTTTGTGGCTCTTAGTTAATACTATTGAAAGTTCTACTAGAAGATTAATCATTCTGTTTTGTTTGGCTTGTATTAGTTATTGAATTAGTATTGTATTAGTCATTGTTGCCATTTTTTTCTCCAGAGAGTCACAAAGAAAAACACCAGCTGCTGTCTCAATTAGGGATGGTGAAAGGTTCTTTGGGGAACCAGCTGTCAATGATGTTAGTTATCCTTTTGTGTATGTATGTGCGCACGCGAGTGTGGTGTATGTGGGAGTGTTTATATATATATATATGTATTGTATGTATATATATATATATGTGCTCTTGACAACTTTCCTCACTGAGTTAATGAATTTATTCCCATTTGTTTTTAAATGAACTAATTTAAAAAAATTTCCTCTTAAGGCAATGAGATATCCAAAGACATCATATAGATACCTTCACGAGGTTATAGGCAAGGATTTTGACAATCCCCTGGTGGTGGAATTTAAAAAGAAGTACCCTTACTACGAGATTGAGAGAGATCCCAGGACTGGTTCCGTACTGTTTGTGCACGATGAGTAAGTGACTAGTTGTCATTATTAACAATAATTATGTTTATTATAATTTCAGTTATAATTTCGTTATAATAACGTCCTACCTCAGGGAACTAGGTCTCTGGACGCTAAATAAAGATTGATTGATTTCAGTTATAATTTAATGATAAATCATATTGTAGAGTTAAGTTTGCTTGAAAGTTTTTTGTATTTTTCTTGACTAGGAACACAAAATACAGCCCAGAAGAGTTGGTTGGCATGATTCTACAGAAAGCAAAAGAATATGCTGAAACCTTTGCTGGTTTGTAATCAGATCTTAACTACTGTATTCATTACATCTGCTACATGCATAAAAACTGAGCCATTGCCATTGTAATTTTTTTTATGAGAAATGTCAGATTGTTTATCTTATCAATTTTTGTGATATTTCTATACAAACTATCATTCATTGATCATGTCTATCAAATTTATGTGTGTATGTATGTATGTATGTATGTGTGTGTGTGTGTGTGTGTCGGTGTATGTATTATACCATATGTTTATCATGGAGTTAAGTTTACTTTTAACATTTTCTGACCTACAGAGCAACCGATAACGGAGTCCGTAATAACCGTCCCGCCGTTTTTCAATCAGGCAGAGAGGCGTGCCATGCTCAGGGCGGCCGATCTTGCTGGCTTGAAAGTACTACAGCTTATTAACGATAATACAGCCGGTCAGTTCTGTTGAGTGATTGGTTCATTTGTCGATTGATTTGTTATTAGTTGTGATATTCGTGTTTAACACGTACACTGCCAGACACACAAACACACTAACACACGCACACAGTTGCTCTAAATTATGGAATGTTCAGGCGAAAATCCTTCAATTCCACTCCCTCCTATTACATGTTCTTTGACATTGGGGCCTCAGCCACCATTACCACAGTCGTCGGTCTGTTATTATTATTATTATTATTTTTACCATTGCGCCATCATAATTATTATTTATTTATTATTATTATTATTATTATTATTATTGTTGTTCAATTTATTTAGAGTACCAAGTGGTAAAGGTGAAGAGTGCAACGTCCGGTTTGACTGATACCTTCCCACAGCTGACCATCAGAGGCGTTGGGTCAGTCAGCTGTCCTGATTATTATTGTGTAGCTGACTAATTGAATGATTGATTGGTTGATTGATTGAATGATTGATTGACTATTTCATTGATTGATATAATTAGGTGACTGAGTAAGTAAGCAGGTGAATGAGTGGCAATTGATAGATAATTAATTAGCTGGAAATTAAATCTCCTTTTAGGTACGATAGGACGCTCGGTGGTTCTGTGTTTCAGAGAAGACTTCGGGATCACCTCTCGAAAGAGTTTGACAAGGTGAAGAAGACCAAGAAGGATGTCTTCACTGACCTTAAGGCTCAATTCAAATTGTACAAAGAAGCTGGCAGGGTTAAACAGGTTCGTTAATTAATTAATTAGTTAATTGATTGATTGATTAATTAAATGATTGGTTTGTCTGGCTGGTTGATTTGTTTTTAGTTACTTCATTGAATAATTTTTTGTTTGTTTGGTTAGTTGATTGATTGATATTTATAAGTTTAACAGTAGATTGATTAGTTGATTGTTTGTTTGTTTGATTGATTGATTGATAGATCAGTTAATTTTATTACATGATATCTGATTTGCTGTTAATTAAACAGGTGCTGAGTGCCAATGTTGAACACTTTGCTCAGGTTGAAAACTTACTTGATGATGAAGATTTCAGGTTTATTTTATTCTTTCATTCTTTTCTCTCTCCCTTTCTCTCACTCTCTCTCTCTTTCTCTCTCTCTCTCTCTTTTTCCCACTCTCTCTATTTCTGTTTTTCTATTTTGTCACTCATATTTCAAATTATTTAAATGAATTTTTTTACAGATTGAAAGTGACAAGGGAGGAGTTTGAAGCTCTGTGCCCTGATCTGTTTGATAGGATTGCCCACACCGTTAAGGAGGCCTTAGATTCAAGTCAGATTACGTTGGTAAGTCGATTGATTGATGATAGATTGATTGATTGATGGATGGATGGATGGATGGATGGATGGATGTGAATATTTGATTGATTGGCTGGGTGGTTGATTAGTTGCACTGTCTCAATTTCATGAAATATATATAATGGCATTTTTGATGCAGTCTGAAATATCAGAAGTCATATTGATGGGCGGTGGGACGAGAGTGCCAAAGATACAGGAAGTTCTGAAGCATTCCATTAAGAGGTTTTGCAATAATAATTAGTTTAATAATAATTATTATTATAATTTATAATAATTTTCATATTAATGAACGTAATACTATCAAACAAAAATTATCGTTATACAACCTCTCTCTCTCTACTATTGAATATTGCGTCACTTTGTGTTTAGACAATTGAAAATTGTCTCTTTTTTTTGTCTGTATATTTCATGAAATTCAACAGACTGTTGTACGTACACATTCGCGCATTGATGCACACATGCGAGTACACACACACACACACAAACTTACGCACGCATTCAACTAAGAAACTAAATTTTAGGGATGATCTTGGGAAAGGCATAAACACTGACGAAGCCGCTGCGTTGGGAGCTGTTTATCAAGCTGCCAACTTGGGGAAAGGTTTCAAAGCTCAAAAGTTCAACATTAAGGATGGGGTTTTGTATCCTATTCAGGTTGGTTGGCTAGTCGGTTTGTTGGTTGGCTGACTGGCTGACTGCTGGCTGGCTAGTGGCCAGTAATTAGTGTTTTTTTTTCCATAATAACAAACAACTATTTACTTATTGTTAGGTTGAATTCGAACGAGTAAAATCAGATTCGGACACGTCTTCATCAGACGAGGCAGCCAAAATAATAAAGAGAACCCTATTTGGTCGCATGCAGACCTACCCCCAGAAAAAGGTCATGACCTTCAACAAACATGTCAAGGACTTTTCTTTTGAGGTCAACTATGGTGATCTATCATTCCTTGACATCAATGAGCTTAAGTTAGTGCAGATGCTTTTTGTTTTAATCATCCAGATGAGTTCCTTCATTTCTTAATATCAGTTGACTTCTCTCTCCAACATCAGAGAATTAGGCAACACGACTTTGGAGACCATATCGCTATCGGGGGTGGGTGAGGCTTTCTCGAAACATTCACAAGATGGCACGGTTGCCAAAGGCATCAAAGCACATTTCAGACTCGATGAGAGTGGCATCATTCACGTTGAAAGCGTTAGTGTTTGTATTATTATTTTTTCTGTAATTTTTTTTATTTCTTTATTTATTATTATTCTTATTATTGTTGTTGGTGGTGGTGGTATTTAGGTTGAGGCAGCATTTGAAAAAGTCGTCACAGAAGTTGTTGAGATTCCAGTTGAAGATGAGGAGTCAACACTTTCCAGTATGTTTTTTTGCTTGCGTTTGTATGTGCCTGCATATATGTATACGTGTGTGTTTGTCTCTGTGTATGTGTGTGTGAGTGTTTGCGTGTGGGTGTGTGTTTGTCAATCATTACACCCATATTTAACAGAGCTTGGCAAATCGTTCAGTAAATTTTTCGGTGGCGGCGATGATAAAGAGGAGCCTAAAGATGGCACTGTCAATGAAGAGGAAGTATGTTTTTGTTTGTTTGTTTTTATGTGTAGGTATGAATGCATATGTGTGTATGTATTGTATGTATGTACGTGTGTGTGCGCGCGCGCGTGTGTGTGAGCGTGTGTGTTTCTGTTTTACCTAGCAAAAGTTTGTTTAAAAAATGCTATTGCAATATTAAAGAGAGAATGAAGTATACCGTTAATTGTTCACTATTTTTTATAAGTTTGAAATTTTATTTAGTTTATATTCATTAAGTAGAGCTTTTGTTGGGTTCCAAATTGGTTCCATTTATGTTCATCTTTTGTTTCGCTTTATTCGTGTTTATTTTTAATTATAGTCAACTTTTAAGATGTTTTTGTTGATTTTAAGAAGCCTCATGATTGAATTCTGTTATTATTTAAAAAATATATATTTTTGCTGAAGTTGGCAGATAGTAGCAACAAAACTAGCAGTAGCATAAATGAGGAACAAGATGACGCTAGTAACGCTACTTTCACTGCTGCTTCTGCTGCTAATGATGATGATGATGCCGGTGGCTATGATAAGATTAATAAGGAAGATGCTGATGAGAAAGAAGAGGATGGTGGCGGCGATAGAGATAAGAAGGTTTGAAAAGGAGAGGGATGGAGAGAAAATACTAACCCTCTAGTTAACATCGGGCTATCTTGCTTAATAATATGTATGCCAGTTTATCTAACTACCTATTTAAATGTGATTGCCCGTTTTATCATGCCATGTTAGCTTTCACGTATTTAATATTCAGCTGCTTGTTTACTAACAATAATTAATTGATTGGTTGGTTGATTGATTGATTGGTTGATTGATTGATTGGTTGATTAATTTGTTAACGATTTTCGCAGCTTACTAAAATTTCTAGTACCTTTTTTTTCAACATTAATTTTCAGCTTGACTGGGTTATAATCAGTTACGACATTTATTTCATCAAGAAGTTACAACTTTTTCGGCTTGATTTTTTGATATGTTAAATATAATATGCTAAATAACTTGTCTCGATCCTTTTTTTTCTTCCACTTTGCCCGGCTCGCAAATAAACTATTGTAGATCACAGCTTATAACAAATTCTATCTATCTATCTATCTATCTATCTATCTATCTATCTATCTATCTATCTATCTATCTATCTATCTATCTATCTATCTATCTATTTATTTGTCCGTCTCTCTTTGTTTCTTTGTCTATCTATCTGTCTGTCTTTCTGGCTTCTTATTCATATGTATTTAACATTTTTGTATTATTATTATTGTCATTGTTATTAATTAATTATTTAATTAATTTTTTAACTAATTTATTAATGTTTTTTTTTTGTCTCTGAAGCCTGATGGAGATGATGTCGACAAGATACAACAACAGCAGCCGGATGAATCAAATCAAACACAATCCGATGATGAGGTGCGTGCGAGTGAGGAGTGCGTGATAAAACGAGTAGAAATCTTATCCTCTCGTTCGAATCATTGCCCTCTGTTTTGTATGGATGCACTCTTGTATATCACATTTGTAACTTTTATTATGTTTTGTTGTATTTTTTTTTACTAGGGTAAAACAAAAACTGATGAAGACAGCAAGCCGGAGGAGAAACCATCCTCTGATACTACTGACAGTACACGGCAGCAGGATGATAGCAGGAAAGATGACACTACGACGACGTCATCGTCTCCAACTAAGGATGAAAAGCCAAAGACTCTAAAAAAGGAAAAGCAGAAGAATGTAATAATTAAGGAGGACTTGAAGATCAGTGTCGAGGTTCACGACCTTAAGGACCCTGATGCCGAAAAGATGAAACTTGCTAAGAAACAGTTTGTTGTTGTCCAGGGTTCTATTGGAGGCTTTTGTTGGTTGATGTTGTTGCTGTTGTTGGTGGTTGCTGTTTAAAGTTTACTATCACTTATGTGCTCCCTTATTCGTTGAATGCAACACATTTGTATAATAAGGTATTTGTATAATAAGGTATTTGTATAATGAGGTATTTGTATATAACCATTGTGTTAATTTTAAACTACATTTGAAAACTCGTTTACAAATATTAAGCTTGAATGACTTGAGGAAGCAAGACGAAGAGAAGATGCTATTGGATAAAGTGAAGAATGAGATTGAAACATTCATCTTTGACACGAGAGATAAGCTGGAGCAGGCTGCTTACATCAAGTGTTCTACTGAGCAGGAAAGGAGTAACATACTCGAAGCACTCTCCACTGCCTCTGACTGGATGTATGAACTTGAGGATAGTACACCAAGGAAGGTCTGTAATATGTCTGCCTGTATGCTTATGCGTATATATCATGTATGCAAGCGTGTTTGTGTGTGCATACTTGTTGGGAGGTACGTATATAAACATACTTATGTAGTCGAGTGCAATGAGTTGAGTGTGGAAGCATGCATATTGCAGCAGTTTTTCAGCCTTGAGATATTCCTCTCCTGATCAGGTCTACCAGGATAAACTGACAGAACTGCACAACATGGTGAAAGACCTGTTTGATAGGGTGTACGAGTACCAGGAGAGGCCTGTTGCCATCGAGGCCTTGAACTCCAGGGTCAACCATTCGGAATTTTTTTTGGAGGGAATGAAAAACTTCACTGCAATAACTGCTGGCGATGATCAGCCATTTACGTTAGTCGAGATGGAAACGCTGAAGAAACTCATTGAGGAGACTAAGGTTTGAATGGACTGTGCGCTGTACGGCGTGCTATCGTGTGTTATGATGGGCATGGTAAACTGTGTGTGTGTCTGTCTGTGTGAGTGTGTGCTGTGTGTGTGTGTGTGTGTCTGGTTAAAGTAGTGATTAACGAATCTTGTGCCGTAAATTTTCTCACACACGTTTATTAATTAAAAATACAGGAATGGAATGCTACAGTTCAGAAAGAGCAAAGTGAAAGCTCTCTGACGGAAAAACCCAAGTACACAATCGACGATTACGTCACAAAAATTAACGCCCTTGACAGAGAAATCAAGTACTTGATTGCCAAGGTCAAAAATTTCAAGCCCAAATCCACATCCACTAATACATCTAGCGAGGGAAGCACTTCTAACACCACTACCTCTGGAAAAAAGAAGAAACCGAAAAGTCGGTAGTGGTTTTGTGTATATGTACGTGTATGTGTGCGTGTGTGTGTGTGTGTATGTGTGCGTGTGTGTGTGATAATGATAAAACCATAAAACCAATAACATCTACAGAAACAAAGACGACGACAATGACAGCTGACAAAGATGGCGAGACACTTGGCTTAGGTTACTTACTTACTACTTCTACTATATACAATTCGAAGATATAAACATGCTTAGGGGTGTACATGTCAATTTCTTTGTGAATGTACACATGAAGGGGAGAGAAAGAAAGATAAGAGAGAGAGAAGAGAGAGAGAGAGAAGAAAGAGTGAGAGAGAGAGAACGAGAGTTTGTCAGTGTTTTATTTTAACTTTAAATGATTCATCATAGGCGGGGACAAAATGACCTTGGAAGATGGTAGAGATCAGTCATCAGTGCCAACAGCAAAAGATGACGACGATTCAGCGACTAAGGAGTCGGCAAAGCTAGGAGATCTAGCTGACGACGCTAGGTATGAAGATGGCGACGATGACGAGTCCGCGACGACGACCACAAAAACGAAACTGAGCCACGATGAAACTGAATTATAAAATTATTCTGTTGTCGTTGTTGTTGACGTGTTTTTGTTGTTGTTAATGTTGCTCTCTTGTTTCTTCGTTCTTAGAAGGTTAGGTTAACAACATGCAAACATCGTCGATTGTTCATTCTTCGGTTAATTGATTGATTAGCTAAATTATTAATTAATTAATTAATTAATTAATTATTCTTGTTCATACTTTATATTGTACATGAATGTATTGTATCTCTATATAAAATAAAAAAACTACATTTGAACAGTCAATTATATATATACAACAATTACATATATATATATATAAGTTCGAATATTTCATTGTATTATAATATAATAAACGAAGATTTAATTGGTCGGTAAAATATTTTTAAATATTCCATTGTGTGTATGTATGTACGTGTATATATAATTAAATATATGTGTGTGCGTGTACTTGTGTATAAACAGATGTATTCATTATTATAAAATTGTAAAAAAATATTGAACGTTTACTATTTTTATCTTGTAGTTGTTATTGTTGACTAATTATTATTATTTATTACTACTCTATACTATGTTTGTTTGTTGCCAAATATAATATGATTGTGGTGGTTTAGTATTGATGGAAATAATATTAATATCATTTGATATTTACTATAGCATGAGTGATTGATACAGTTGTCGTTGTGCATTTTGTTGGTGAATTTGGTCTAGTTTTTATCTATCAATCATTCATTCATTCATTCAACTAATTCATTCGTTCATCTATGTATTTATTAATTCACTCGTTTAACCATCTATGTAATCAATTCATTCATTCATTTATTAACTTGTCTATGTTCGTTTGCTTGTTTGTTCCATTGTTTGTTTGACGTATCATTATGAAGCGCTTCAAAAAGTAAGTTCATTGAATTGTTTGTTAGTATAATTAATAATAAAATTAGATGTACCCTATACTACTGTGAACATTACGTCATTGTTCATAAGTTTGTTGTTGTTTTGTATGTGTTTCTGTACGTGTATGTTTTTATATTTGTATGTGCATACATTTTTTGTACACTCTATGTATGCGTACGGTACTGTACAATACAATACAATACAATATAGACAGAGATCTTAGGTAATTTTGGGGTTATATGTGTATTGATTGGATTGTTGTTTTTCATGTTTGAGTATGGAAGTTTTTGTTTGGTTATTTGTATTTTTATGTGTTTGTTGGTTGATTTGTTTATCTGTTTGTTCGTTCGTTTGTTTGTTTGTTCGTCTGCCCCGTTTATTTTGTATGATGCTTCTTCGATGTTATATGGAAGTTAAACATCATCATTATCGGTTACTTAACTATATCTGTTCAGAAATGTTGATGATGATAATGTATTAGAATAAAGCTAAATATCATAATAGGTATCTCATTTTTACAATTAAAGTATTTTTACCCTTGTCTTTTATTAATAAATAATAAATACACACATCATTCACATAGAGAGAGGGGGGGAAGAAAGAGAGATAGAGAGAGAGAGAGAGTGAGTTACTAATATGACATTTGAATTTTAGACATGTTATAGTGTAACGACGAATTTCAACATCTTTCGTGACGTCATTTCCAGTTTGCCGAAAAGGCCGGCGTGGTTTGTTGGTATCTCGTGACTCAGTTCGAAGTAGTAACCATTAAAAAGTGATTATGAATGTCGGTGAGGGGTTTTGAGGTAAAGAGATTCCGTTAAGTAAGCTTGTAAGTGTTTTTCTAGATGTGAGAAAGTAGTTTTATATATTTATTCTCTCTCTGACAAAACCGGCTCAGTAAATTTTTATTCAACACAACAGTAATTATAACAACAATAATAATGATATTAAACGAGTAAAATATGAAACGAGTTAAAATGTATTTCTGTGAAATGTTATCCTTCAGAATGGAACGCCAACGTGGGAATGGATGCAAAAAAATTTTAGTAGAATGGAATAAATTGCAGGGCAGGCAATCCTCATGCCTGCTATCCTTCTTAAGAGTAAATAATTCAATAATTATAATGCTTGGTTGAAAATGTTCAGTTTAACTACATCCTTTGGTCTGACGTCTTTACTTCCATATATACAATTTACTCTGCCAAAATTTATTTAAGGCTATCTTGAAGCTAGTAATGTTGGCTGGTTTGACCACATTTTACACCGCGCACATACACACACACACGCAAACACACACACATACATACATACAAACACACAGACATACACACACATACATTATTATGGACTGCTGTTCGAAAATTAAAAACAACAAATTCTCTAACAGATGAGGCGAGCAGAAGGTATGTTGCGTGGGCAACTCCTGCAATTATGATGATGATGAGGAGGAGGAGGATGCGAATGATGATGAGGATGAAGATGATGATCATGATAACCATGGCGAAATTAAAAAATAAACCATCACAACGTTGCTTGCTTGTTTGTATCTACGTATTAAGTTGAATATGTCTGTTAGTAATATTCCTGTTTGTCTTCCTGTCTGTCTGCCTGCATCTGTATGCGTGTATGTGTGCATGCATATGTGCATGTATGTATGTATGCATTTATACATGTATGTTTATTTTGTATGGTATATATAGTTTATAAATGTTGAGCTGAAGAGTTGTTATGCATGGGGAATCCATTAGAACGTTAATCCAATCACACACACACACACACACACACACACACACACACACACACACACACACACACACACACACACACGTCGTTACCTCACGCTGCTGAAATGAAACAAAACACTACACACATAAAAACACACAGACACACTTATATATACATACATACACACATATACATACAAACGTACACATGCATACACACACATATATATTTTTAAAGATGTTTTTATGTGTTTGTGTATATTTTTCTGGATATGTATTTTTGTATAGGTTTATATATTTTATAATTGTTAAAACAATGTATTTGTATATATCTAATTTTTGGTCTGCTTGTCTGTATGCGTGTATGTATCTATGTATCTATCTCTCTCTATCTCTATATATATATATATATATATATATATATATATATATATATATATATATATATATATATCTGGATTACATAGGCAATACTAGGATGATATTTGATTAGCAATGTTATGTGCTTTTGTATGTGTTTAAGATCAAAAACCTATTTGATAGTTTAAAGAAATTTAATTCCACGATAACCTCATTTAGATAATTTGATTGTTTTTTTTCAATTTATTTTCCAACTTTGAGAGAAAAAATAATAGTTGAAAATGTGAAATTTTCAACTACTTATTTCGCTACATCTAGCTTTGTCTCTTCCCTATATCTAGACATCTAGCTTTGTCTCTTCGCTACATCTAACTTTGTCTCTTCGCTACGTCTAGCTTTGTCTCTGGTACATCTAGCTTTTTCTCTTCGCTGCATCTAGCTTTGTCTCTTCGCTACGTCTAGCTTTGTCTCTTCGCTACATCTAGCTTTGTCTCTTAGAAAAACTGTATAAGATTTCTGCAACTTAAACAAGTAAACTAACAAAATTGTTAATTAATTCTCCTCTTAATTTGTTTATTTCCACGAAAGAAACGATGAAAAAAAAAAAGTTTCCTCAAACGCATTTTCAACATCATTCAACAAGTCGTACGAAATGAATTTCTCTCTCTCTCGCCAACGTCTCTGATTGGCCGGTAGGTTACGCCCATATTTATATTCCGGCTCTCTGATTGGTTAAGAATGTAGGCTAGATGGCGGAGCTTACGAAATTGAATAATTTCATTTGTTAAAGGGAAACTGCGTTGACGACGGCCGAGGTATATAAAGAAAATCAACGAAAATTTCATTAAATCGTTAGAGAAAATTCCAGAACGGCATTCGTATTATGGAGGAGGGTAGGTCTATTATTATTATTTTTATTGTTGTTGCTGTTGTTGTTTTGTTTGGAAGAGCGAGAGACGATTTTGTCGTCGTCGTCGTTGTTGTTGATGTTGTTGTCAAATAAAATGTAGATACGTATGGCTTGGGTAGTTGTTTCAGTTTTATCGCAATTCATACCGTTATGAAATATATTTGTTGCTGGCGGTGACGTCATCATCATCGTTGTTGTTGTTGTTGCAGCTGCGGCTTAAACAGCATTAGTATTAGTTGTGATTGTTGTTGAAATATTAGTTTTAATAAAGCTGTTTTGCTGATGTTAAAATACGGGTTGTTGTTGTTGTCGTTGTTGTTGCTGTTATTGTTGCTGTTGTCGTTGTTGTTGTCAATAAATGTTGTTAAAATTAAATTAAATTAAAAAATTATTTTTAAAAATTTTCTTAAATACTCAGTATTCAAACAAGATTATGACTACAAAATCCACTCGATGTTGGAGTCTGGGGGCTTCATGTCCCTGCAACAACCCCCTCCCTCTTCAACAACGACACCCCCTCTCTCAAACCTTTTTCACCCACATCCTCATCTGCACCATCCCCATCAACACCAACACCAACAACAGCAACCTTTTTTACAACAACAACAACAGCAGCAACAACATAACCAACAACGTCAATCTTCGTTGTCGTCGTCATCATTGTCGTCGTCGTCGTCGCTTTCTGATTACTCCGGCCGTCAGTCGCCACAAATCGCTGCTGCTACTACTAAAATGTTGTCTAGTGGCGGTAAATAGTTGTCTTTGTGTGGTTTTTGTTGGCGTTTTAGGTGATGTTGTTGTTAATTGTGTAGATATTTTTATTAATGTTTTTGTTGTTAGCGATGAGTTGTTTTAGTTTATCTGCAATTTCTGCCGTGGTTTTGCTCTTGGTCTTTCATCAAATTGTTGCCAACTTAAACGTTGTCTATACTTTTAGTTGGGTTGCTGTAAATTTTCGTCGCTTCGTTCACCCATTTTACGATTCGAAACAGGTCGAGTAAGTTAAGAATTAATGAGAGACAGTAGCGAGATGGTCACTGAGGTTCATCTAAGAGATTAATCCGAGACGTGGTTATCAGTAGTTAACAACTAATCAGAACCAAACACTATCTTCATTAGCATAATACTAGATCTAATTAGTTTTATTAATTATGTTAAGTACCAAATTGTAACTTTTTATTATAAACGAGTAGTTATACAAAGAAGACAAATTAATTTTTCCTACATTCAGACTCGTCATTCAAGAAGATCAAAGCGGAAAATGTTCGCGACACACAGACAACAACATCCTCCTCCTCCTCTTTATCATCGTCATTATCAGCAGCAGCAGCAGCAGCAACAACAACAACACATGTTAAACCAACGTCAACAAATGGCAGCAAAAACATGAACTGTTATCATAAATCGCAAATGCAAAACAACAACAACAACAACAACAACAACAGCAACAGGGTATGCGCAACAAACGCATTGAACAACAACAACAACCATTTTTCAAATATCGCACACGACATACCACCCCACCATCATCGACAACAACAACATCATCATCAACAACAACAACAACAGCAAATTCAATCATCATCAACATCATCGTCAACATCGACGTCATCGTCGTCCTCTTCATCATCGTCGTCTTCGTCACTGAATCACAACCAATCCAACATGAATCACGGGGGTTTGAACCCGGTTCATTCGTGTCCGACGCCAGCCCGCAGACGACATAGGACGACTTTTACACAGGAACAGTTGCAAGAGTTGGAATCGGCATTCTCCAAGTCCCATTATCCTGATATCTACGTCAGAGACGAGTTAGCAAGGATAACGAAGTTAAATGAAGCTAGAATACAGGTTAGTGTATGTATGTATGTGTGTGTGTATGTGTGTATATGTATGTATGTGTGTGTATACGTGTGTACTAAATATGTATGTATGTTACTTGTTTAGTAGATATGTATGCTTGGAAATGGGTGTCTGTTAGGTATGAGTGTGTATGTATGTATATGTGTGTGTTTGTTTGTTTGTTTGTATGTATGTATGTGTGTGTATGTATGTATGCATGTATGTATGTATGTTGCGTGATGTTTTTTCCAGTAGCAAATAGATTATGCAAACATGGTTGGGCATGGGGATTTCAATTTCAGTCTTCTACTCTGGCGAGTTGTAGTTGCTGCTGATGATGATGTTGTTGTTGTTGTAGTTGTTGCTATTGTTGATGTTGCTGTTGTTGTTGTTGATGTTGTTGCTGCTGTTGTTGATGTTGTTGTTGTTGTTGTTGATGTTGTTGTTGGTGTTGCAAAAGCGGCCTCAACAATTGTTGATGTTGCATCTGCTTCTAGTCTAGTGTTGACTTCATCATAATTTTAGTACATTCAAAATATTTTTGTGAAAGTTAAATGATTTTGTTTGCTCTTGATAGTATTAGTAGTATTAGTAGTAGTATTAGTAGTAGTAGTAGCAGTAGTAGCAGTAGTAGTAGTAGTAGTAGTAGTGGTAGTGGTAAAAGTAGTAGCAGTAGCTGTAGCTCTAGTAGTATATATATTTGTATGAAAAATGATGGAAAGATAGAGAAATGGAAGCGAAAAATGAAAAAGTGAAGAAAGTCACCTTTATATAGGTAGTCACAATCCATTAGTACGACAGATGAACTATGATGATGATGATGATGATGACGATGATGTGTACATGTATGTTGTACAAAAATACACATACACACACACGTACACACACACGTACACACACATATACACATACATACAAATATGCACGTACATGTACATACATACATACATACGTACGTGATGTAAATGTCGTAAATATATTTGTATAATTGTATATGCATTTTTTTAAATCTTTCATTCATTTAATCAATCACCATTCATCCATTTATTCATCCATTTATTCATCCATCCATTCATTCATTCAATCGTTCGTTCGTTCGTTCATTTATTCATTCATTTGTTTATTCATTCATTCATTCACTCGTGGCCGTCATAAATGCCAGGATAAATTAAAATTGAAACAGTAGATTCACGTTTTTAAAACAAAACCCGCCCAGACACTCGCTTGTAGTCATTATGTCTTGACCTCTCTCTGACAATTTTTATCATCGTCGTCATCTTCATCGTCATCTTCATCATCATTATCCTCATCATCTTCGTCATCCTTATCATCATTATTATTATCATCATCGTCGTCGTCGTCATCATCTTCGTCATCATTATTATCATCATCGTCATCATGTTCATCTTCATCATCTTCATCATCTTCATCATCATCTTCGTCATCATCATTATTATTATCCTCATGATCGGCATCATGTTCTATCTTCATCATCATCTTCATCATCATCGTCGTCGTCATCTTCATCATCATTGTCCTAATAAT